AAAGGGTCATTATCTTCCTCTTAAATAAAACTTCAGCAAACTCGGTGAAAAAAAGCAGCTAAAACTTGACTGTATACTTGAGCACTGGAACCATCAGAGTAGGACGATTGCCATTTGATTTGGCCATTTTAACCTTTACTTTTTCGAAATCAAAGCTGCTGTCGACATCTATCTCCATTAAAAAAATACTTTGGTGATCCTCACGGCTTGGGGTTTTAACACATCAGTAGCGCCCTCTTTTGACCATTGTTAGTATAGTGCAATTTCTCACACTTCATGCGCGTAGAGTCACAAAACTTGTCCATTCATCTTTTCAATTCTGTTGGCAGAACTTAGCCCTGCATGCTCTGGAAGTTACTGAAAGACGATTTTAACCATATGCCGACTATAGAATCATGTAATTACAAGTACATGTACACAGTTTCTCGGCTTACTTATCAAACTTAATCCTACAGCAATGGGTTGCTTTTCCCTTCTTTACATTGGAAAATGAATACAAGCCACCTTTCACTCTTCAACATAAAGTGTGATGTAAGTACCGGCAGTTTGACGTTGGGAAATTTTAAAAGGCCGGGTCGGTTTTCTTTTTTAAAACCATTTAAATTTTTTTGTTCTGAAACAATGTATATATTTTACACAAAAATCGGTATAGCCAAATGTTCGGTGTAGGGGTGTTCAGTATTTGTTGCAGTTTGTGCAGGACTGTGCAATTTGCAGCCCCATCTAATCAGACCTCATGATGGAGAAATTGCACCTTGCCAGGGCAATGAGGATAACCATGAAACTGCAACTGAAGATGAGTAACGAGACTTAAAGAACTTTCCGTTTGCAATCCTTGAGGAGTGGGTGAATGATCATAAGAATGCTTTGCCAGTTATCTGTAGGTGCTTGTTTTTGCTTGAAGGCTTCAGCCCGAATCTCAAATCTAGTTGATTAAAATCACCTTTTACATAGCACACAGTGCAATGGAATTTGCATTGTGAGTGGATTTAATCACAGGTATCAACAAAATGGTGTTTTTAAAACCACCCATCGGGGGACCAAAACAAAATCCACACCACTGGCTAATACCTTGAATTCTTCATGGGCTTAGTGTACCTACATATTCTTAAAAGCTTGGTTTTTTTCTCAATTTAAAAAATTACTTGACCAAGTTCTTCTTTTATTTAATTGGAGACTTCACATTATTAAAACATGTTAACAGCAAACACAAATCACTTCTCAATGTGGCTTGCGGGACTGTACTTATTGTACACAACACGATATCTTGACCTTGGGGTTGTTTTCAAGACTACAGAACTGTGATTTTCGAATGTCCATGGGCAATCTTTGTTTCTAGTACAGGAAGTAAGCTCTCAAAGTACACCTTCTTTAGATGAATTAAAGTTTTCTGAACCAAAATACTGTCATAGAAAACATCAAGAACGTTATATTCATTGTGGGTCCAAATGAGGAATTTACAGACTTTACGCCCAGAACAATGCATTGCCAATTGCACTTGATAGTAGTAGCCTAATCTTGATGCTGTCTGATGCAAACAAAATACTTTCCATCTTTGTTTCTCACATCATACTTGTCAGCATTTATCATGTTTATAAGACTCCCACCATGTGCTTCTAATATTTTTCTTCGGGGCATTAATCTCCAAGATTGTATTCTCATCTATGATACCATCCAGGCTTGAAGCAAGCCAGTCTTCTGTTGGGTGAACAAGTCGTCCAGTCTTAGTAACCCTTTTATGAAATGCTCTCTGAAACTGATCACAAGCCAGTGGCTCACACTCTTTACCATGTCTTGTTGCTGCATTCCCTTGGAAACAATTGTGTAATTTCCTGTTAATCCATTTCTGTGGCTCAGCTTTTTTGGGAACATCTGCAGCCTCACTACTAGTAATTCTTTGTTTGCGTTGGTCTTCCCACAGGAGAGGGTCTTAATTGGTTCTTTGTTGCTTCAGCAAGTTGAATTTTCTGTTCCTCAGTACATTTAACATGTTTTCCATATAAACATCATTAGACAGTTCGCACTTAAGCTCTGTGCATTTGTTGTGCACTTTTGGCACAGAATTAAGTGATGAGGAAGGCGGTGTGATAGGTTTAGCTGTTAATACATGGTGCATTATAGTGGTCATACTAATAAGCGTCAACACAGCGTCAACACACACAGAAGCGTCAACACAGCGTCAACACAGCGTCAACACCTCCAAAACGCATTGAAATTGACAAAACCAGTGTTCAAACTGTACAGTATGGGCAGAAATAAAATATTGGCTCAAAATCAATAAGATAAACGTCTGAAAATTGTAATTTTCTGTTCAAAAAAAATTGGCTCTCAGTGCAGCGCCGAAATCGGCAGCCACGTTGCTTCAGGGGCAGCGCAGACGATACCATTACGCAAAAGGGGTAATATAATTATACAATAAATCAACAGAGGGCGGTCGTAACGTGTGAATCCGTATACGACATGATAATTTCATTACCTCCACACCCATATCTGAAATGGTGAAGTCCAAGCTCGGTGCAAAGGCAAGATGGCCGACAACAGCGGTGCTCCTTCGGATCATTTTATCGCGTGAAAAAAACTCCATTTTCGTAAACGAAATGTAACCTCTGACCCACCGAAAATCTCTTTAAGTCTAAACTTTAAAGTTCTATGCCTTTTTTGTCAATTTACAATGCGTTTTGGCAGTGTTGACGGTGTGTTGACGCTTCTATCATTGGGTTAAGTTGACGTTTCTATCATGTGTTGACGCTGTGTTGATGCTTATTAGTACGACCCCATTATAGTGCCTTCAATGGAAGCCAGTTCAGGATTGCTGTAGTGAGCAATTACATCTTTATCAGTATCAAAAGATAATAATAATAATAATAACGAAGTTTTATAAAGCGCACATATCCACCAAGGTGCTCAGGGCGCTATTACAATGAAAACAAAACAAAACAAAATCAGTTTAATTACGAAAAAACGGATCTTTCGACGTACGAGTACAAGTACTCCAAAAAAGTACTTGAGTAGTACCGAGTATGAGTACTACAACACTGTTATTATGTCCTCATAATTATTTATATTCGTAAGAAAATGTTATTGAAGTAAGGATGTGCAAGTAGAATCACCAGAAAAAAAGAAAAAAAAATATATATATATATATATACAATATACTTAAATATGGGGAGAAATATATTACACGGCAGGTGTTAACGATTTATGCAAATTAGGTATATTTAGGGTCAAAATGAACAATGGCATCCATCCAAGTCTTGTTTGTTATGATTCAAAGAATTGATCGAGCATGCATGCCAGCTATTACCAAAAAAATTTCCAGTGCGTTCTAGTAGCGAAACGGCTCCGTGGCTCCATGATAGTAAGGGTGCTGTCTTTGAATTTTACACTTTAACCAGTTTGCACTGGAGGCCATGAATACGCGCAAAAGATTTGCAAAATTCAGATTGGATGACTGATCTACCCGCAACGTGCATGGCCCACAATATGCGTGTACTATGCACGGATGATGTGTTTACATATGGATGGATCCAGGGGAGCCAATGGGGGCCATGGACCCCCCTCCCCCCCCCCAAAAAAATATTTTTTTAGTGACGTCATAATAAAGGCAGGCACTGCGTACACCACTATATTTTCCTCAAACAAAATGTGTTAAAATGATCAGAAATTGCCGCAGATCACACCACAGAGCATCAAGAATCAAAAACCCCTCCCCGTAATTTTTTGGGGGACAAACTTTTTTTTTGCCCCCACCCAAAAATACAAACAATTGTGTTCTGGATCGGCCCTTGTTTACATAGAATTACTGCATATACTGGAAACTACAGCCGGCGCCACATAGGACGTGTATACGCGCTGCAAAGTGTCCTTGGTTGTTGCTGTTGACGTGTTCACATGCAAAATAAGGAAAAAGCCCTTCACAATTAAGAAATTAGAACTGCAAAACCCTCCAGTGGGCCACAATATCGTCCCCTGTATGCTCACTTTAACCGGCATGCTTTGCATTCAAGTTTAGACTGGCGCAGTATGCAGTTGCGACTGCTGTGTGTTGACCAGCGAGCTTCAAAGATTTGAATATTTGGTCAAATGCAGTTTTGTATATTCGAATACTGCATTATTCGAAAATGAACAGCCAAAGTCTGCAGGAAAGCTTTCCTGCAGAAAATTATTTAATTATGTCTTCATTATCAGATTCTCCATTGTCAGATTCTCCATTGTCACTGCAAAAACTAGGTTGGGTAAAACACAAATCCTCGTCTGAACTATCCATGCTGAGGTCAAGGTGTCTCCGAACAAAATGGCTTTTGCTACTGGATTGATTGTACGGGAGTGACGATACACATTCTTTACAATGCAAATTTTCTGAACACGGAATCTGCCCCTCCCCCCCCCCTCAACTTTTTCCGCGATACCCTTCCAAAAACAATTGTCTTGACCCAAGCTTTCCTGACTTTTTAGCCTCAAGTCTTACGCATCTTTGGATACAACAAACTTACAATTCCGACCATGGGTTACCGCACAGCGAAAAAATTTGCTGTGAAGACTGAATTTCACCATATGTAGTGTACACAAAGCAGAATTACCAGTGGTGCATATGAATAAGTAATTAGCTGATAATTCCAAAACTCTTTAACCTATAATCATGAAATTTCTTGTTTATGTTTATATTAGGTTGCGCTATGCATGCACCGAGTTTCATAAGTTTTTTGCACTCAATAGCCAAGATCTGAGAAGGGGGAGGAATTTCCCCCACCCCCCCCCCCCACCTTCTGTGAAATGGCCAAAATAACCCGGCTCCTTTAGGTTAATAGAATTTGATATAAGTTCTGTGCTCAAGTTATCCTGTAGTGCACTAGAAATGATAAATCAACTAATGGGAGACATGCCACAAGGGTAGGTTGTATCATGTAGATTTTCAACTACAAATAAATATTCTATCAAAGACGCCAACCTCATTGTCAAGAGCAGTTTGGTTTCATACTTTGGCTTCCTAATTTTTGCAGATGCCAACATGGATAAAGAAAGAGTTGAACGATTCTGCAGCTGTTACCATTGAGAATGATGATGAAGAAGATGGAAGTGATGTTGATGTTACTACGGATGAAACTGAAGAAAAGGACCTCACACTTGCAAGCATAAAGATTAACAAGGATATCAATGTTCTCAAAGGTATGTGAAGCTATTTTGTGTACCAATAACACAAATAAAGTCATAGGCTACATTAAAACAAGTTTATATTGACAGGAATTTGCTCCTGAGCACACGATTGCCAAGAGTGTGGCATTTTGGTCAACTTAGCAACAATAGCACCCTCCGGCACCTTACCCATAATGCCCCGCGGCATGCGTGCCTCATGAACGTCCTCTTTTCTCTTAGCGGCAGGTCGGGTAGGACGTGTAAAATAGTCCCTGTTTTCCTCGTCATTTTACTACTTTTTTTTTTCGCTTAAAGAGTTAATAACAACAGTTTGTATAGTTTACAATCGTCTTCTTGATTTATTTGTAATATTTATTCAATAATTATAAAGCGTTTGGGGAGAACCGATCTGTAGCACACTGGGGGGGGGGGGGGGAATTCCTCTCCCAGGGGACGGACCAAGTTCTCGGGGGACTCTGCCAATAATGCTACGTTGTTACCGCAGCAGGCCCAGCACCCTCAGCCACTGCCGGCTGGGGGAGTTGGCAGTTCCCCTGACCAGTTAAAGGGTCTTCGGTCTCCTTCTCTGGTCAATTCAAGCGGAACACCCAAACAAAAGGCTCCGGCAAGGTTCCTCCAAAACATACTTCCTGTACCGGAGCAAAGCCTAAAAAAGGGCTGACATGGCAAGCGTGGCTCGAGTACGAGAACCGTTATAGCCCCCGGCCCTTCCCTGAGCACAGGGCAGCCTGAGGGGACTAACCGCCACGCTCCAGTGGGCTCTAGTCACCCGTACCCTCCCGACACAGTGCCGAGTACCACTGGTTGCCGGGACGGGCTAATGACATTTCCTTTCGACAAACCCCGGGGCTGTTCTTCAAAGAAGAAAAAGAAGGCTGATCGCCGATCACGCCATTCTTCTTCAGACTCTGGCTGCTCCTCTGACTGGTCCCACCGGGGCAAACGCTCCCGAGGTGAGGACTCAATCTCGAGGACTGATTTCCTGCAGGCTTTTCAGTCGATCTAGCTTCGCTATCTGTCTGCAGGCTGCCAGGCGGGCCCCATTGGAAGCCCCACTGAAACGACGAGCGACAAACCACAACACACGGTTGGGTGGTCCGTGAACAAAGGGACATACCGCACACAGATAGCCGTGCTCCAGAGTCCCTACCTGCCTTGAATGCTTCACAGTCGTCATTCATTGGCCACAGTTGGGAGGCCCAAATACAACCGGATACATGAGTACATGCACATGTATACCACATGTTGCTGCGTGCACCGGAGGCCCAGGCGAGTGCTTCACATTTGCCGGCCGTGGGCCATGGTTGTGGACAATGGGACCAACCACACACAGTTAGCCGTGCCCTGGGATCCTCACCCGTGTCAACTGCCTCCGAGGGAGTTGACCAGCCACTGCTGCGTGGTTCTGTACAACTCATCCCGCTCGTTCACCGGTGTCAACTTTGCCTTCCCAATCAGTTGATTATGCCGATGATGACGAAAAACCAGACCAATTATAGCAACTGTCCATCGCGGAAACAGAACTCCATTTGGTCCAGAGGGACATGATATTGGTACTTACATTACCCTCTGCTGATGAGCCCCCTCCGGCCGATCATAAATCTTTCAAGCGCAGGACGGGCTTCACATCTAACAATGACAAAGTGTTCCCCAAACTTCCGTTGGATCAAGTGTGTGTAGAACACATCAACAACATTGTCACCGGACAAATGGCTTCCATTTTTCAAGCAGGAACAGGATTACTATCGTCGACCAGCTTCGTACGGGGGACGAAAGATTAATATCCTTGTTTGCAGGGGATGTATTAAGTCGTGGACCCTAAACACGACGGGTGGCATCTGCCTAAGGCGACTCTTCGACCCTTAACTTGCATTAGGAATCAAGTATGACTTTTGTGGTAGATTTTTTGACTCAATAAATACAGTGCACTTTCTAGTCACAGTGTTGAAGAAAGAAGTTCACTTATAACACCGAAATTTAAAAGACGGTGCAAAAATATCATCAGTGGCTTTATATCATTTCAATTAACTTATTCTCATCAACAACGAACTAAAAAAAAAAGTCATTGAAAAAAGTGTAAAATCAACAGAGTTCAGGGCCTAATAACATGCAAGCCGACATCACTGAGGTTTGTCAAAAAAACAAAATCATCTTTTCATTTCTTTTGAATTTTGGGTCGATTAGCCAAGGCCAAACAATATAATAGTTCTGCTTCCGGTTTCCCTACCTACCCTATTCTGACAGCCCCACCCTAATTTTGTTATGCGAAAAATGAGAAAAAACACCCAAAATCATCAATTTCTACATTTTACCCTTGACTGCACACAGACGCCTCAATATGATCGTTCACACACAAAAATGCAAAAAAAAAATCCCTATCTACCTACCCTATTTTGGAATGCCATGTTATCGGAAGCAGTTTTGTTTTGGCCCAATTACATTTTTAAATATTCATACCATAACAAAATCACCTCTCGAAAAGTGACAGTTCCCAAGCCTGCTTACAAGTGGCAGCCTTCCACTTTTGCAGGCACATAGTATCCATTTTCAACGGTAATTTTAGCAAGCCTGCCCTCAGATGGAAGCCCCAAAACCAGGGAGTTTATCCTTGGCTATATTTACACAATTCCACCATTTTTAAAGCCAAACAGCTTTAACGACGTAAATTGTCTCATTTGAAAAGTTGAAGATGTCAAAGGTCACATTCCAAGTTCAGTTTTACTTTTACAGACAACATCTTCCAAGCTTAAATGCGTGACCGTTGAGTCTTCGCTTCATGCTGCAATTCAGTGTCAAGGTTCTAAAATTATTAGCAGTTCATACAATTCCACCCACATTACTACCCACAATCATTTCTACACTGATCAGGGCCCTCTCATCCTCATTATACTACCCCCTGCCATTGCCACCCTACAATATACACCAGGCAGTCTGGCCCTGATTAGTCACTCTGTCCAAAAAATGAAAAAGAAAACAGGCAGGACGTGTGGTTCGAGAACCACCTTGTTATTGCTGTGCTAAGGGAAAATACAACATTTGCAAACATCAAAAAATAAAACTACTAAATCATTTTGAAATACCTTGCTGGACTGTTAGTGAATGACAGTGTAAAGCATCCTGTAAAATCATGGCACCTGGTATACTGTCATTTTCAAGAAAAGTGGTATTTTTGTATCAATTTCCAACGCTGATCGGCCGATGAGCGTTGGAAAAAACTGGCTTTTTTTCAAATACTGGCCCCAATTGACCATCGCACTTGTTTGCAATCGATTACAAACCTATGAACAGGTACGAGCAGGCTAGACTGATTCCCTGACCTTACAATTCCCCAATGTATGTAAACTACTCTGTTTCTTCTTATATGGAGTCATATAAATGATTGTTTTTCTTGGTTTTTATAGCATTTTCGAACCCAAAACCTCAAAAAAGTCAGTGTAACTATATTTGCTATATATTTCCAACCCCCCAATTCAATCCATTTCTGAAAATTACAGCAAAAGCAAATGATGTATATTCCCTTTAATATGCACACTTTCTATTAGGCATATTATATTGCCATAAAAGACCCAAGGCTAGCAGGGGGTGATAATGGGGATAAAAACCAAAATTTTGGAGTATGATTGCACCCACTTCAGAGGTGATGCATTGGGTCATTTTGGGAATATTTTGCATGGGAAGTGGGTATCTAGAATGAAAAAAAAAATCACCCCACGCAAAAAACTAAATCTGCACTGTACGCACAGGGGACAGTCAGTAAGTTATTGCGATATGAATGCCTTTTGTGCCGATTTAAATCAATTTTGGTATAGTTTACATTGAACACAACACTGAAGTCAGTAAGACTTTCATAGATGAGCACATAACTGACAATTTAATATATTAAGAACATTATTAATGCTCTAATATCGCTAAATATCACAGAAAGTCGGGGGCATGGATATACATGTAAATGAGTATAAAATCTCTTGTATAAAACAGATATAAGGGCCTTTCCACACAAACGGTAACAAAAGCGTGACATTTAGAGGGAAGCATGGTCGATACATGAAGTAATCTGTCATGTTTTTTCCTCTTTTTATATCCAATATCCTAGTAAGAACATTGCCCACCAACAAGTTTGATAAGTTTTTTAAGTGTTTGGGAGCAATAAATGAAAACATGAATTATCCCAAATTTGTTCCAAAAACAAAGCTATCCATTGAGGGATTGCCACTGACCAATCTTACATTAAACCTCCACCGGTAGGTATTTTTTAACTACAGGGTGTACACATCTTCAAGACTTCTTGTTCATAACAGGGACAGAAATTTGTCACAAATTTGTGTCCTTGTTATGAATATGTATCAAGTCGCATCCTAATTTCAAAAATAAACAGCTTGTTTTAGTGTTGAATGATGCCAATTCAACATTATATAAGTTATACATAAAGTCGAACAAGTTTATAACAAGGTCCTTGGGACTTTACGAATTACCTTGTTATAACAGGTACCTTGTATTAACAGTAATGGAAAACAAAGAAAAACAAAGACTTTGAACCTAAAATTGTGCTTGTTATAAGCAGGTCCTTGTATTAACAGTGCTGTTCTTATCAGGGTCGACTGTAAACGGAACATACAAGGGATGGATTAATCATAACAAGAATGTATAGTATGATTTAAGAATGTCCGTCCATGTCCGTCATTTCATCTTATAAAGATGGCCTAGTAATTTCCTACATATCCAGTGAATCAGCTTACATATCAGTGCAATCACAAATAATGCAGGAATGTCTTTAAAAAAAAAATGCAAAAAATCTGCTTTGAAATCTCACCAAGGGCGTCAATCACTTCTCAAAAATGCGTGGGGGGTGGACATACCACCTGCGAGCGAGAAACTTTTTGGATTTTAGTAGACGCTCTGTGATGCGATCTGAGGCAATTTGTGACCACTTAAACCAATTTTTGTGAGCAAAAGATCATCTTTTAAACATTATTTGTTCGAGTTTGGAGTCATTGAATCAGCTATTCTGAGCTTATGTTGGCTACAATTTTTATTCGGGCATGAAAAAAGTGTGTGTGTGGGGGGGGGGGGGACCAACAATATGATATTCCCCCCACTTTAAAAAGTGTGGTGGGGGAGAGTGTGCTTGTCCCCCCCCCCCCCCCACCTCATCAGTTGTAACTTTAAAAAAAAAAGTTGTGCCCTTGTGCCATCAGCCGTATGGACGCCTTTGTAAGAATTTTATGCATGTATCACCCTGAAAAGCGCCATAGATATCCTTTACAGTGTGCATAATATTTGGTTAGAAACAGTGCCCCCATCGACGGATGGCACCAGCCCCCCCCCCCCCCCCCCCATTTGATTTTACAGAGGCCAAGTGTACTGAGAAAAAAATGAGTCTGTATAAACAATTGAGCACGGATGTGCAACTGCCCTTTTCAAGAAATATTTAACCCCCACCCAATAGAAAATGACCTTGCTATGCTCCTGTTCCCTCTTTCAAGGGTTAAACTTTGAAGGCAGCACCTCAAGCTAAGCATCTTTCGGAGTTCTTTCCATATGCTGCTGTGACTTAGTGTTTCTAATTTGAAATAATAAGTCCTTATTAACCATTACTACAACAGGACTACTCAGATTATAATCGGCAGAATGCCAGAAAATGCCATTTTGGAGTTAATTTTGAATTTCAAGGGGTGGAGGGTTATTTAAGAGATACAGCGTTAGTTTTGGTGTCAAAAGTCTTGTATTGATGGTGTTAACCATTTCTTAGATGGGCGTCTTCATATTTTGACACCGGACTTTACCACCCCCTACTACCAGGGCTGCAAATGTACACTTATTAGGTACTGAATGAATATATCACAATGCACCCCACATGCAGTGGCCAGGTCTTAACTTCTTAAGTATTATCACCATTTTGTCCTTTTTTAGGAATGAAACAAACTGAAAAGAAAGAAACAAAAGGAGAAGTCACTGCTGCATTGGATCAGAAGGTATGTATTTTCTTCCACATCAAGATAAATACCATAGAATCATCCTTGAAATCAAGTCTGAAACTTTCTTGGGTTTTGTTTGCCCACTGTGTACCATGCCGAGATGTGGATAGATGCCATGGCATGGACAGATACCACTATGGTACCTGTAGCGGGTGGTATGGCAATAGACCTTTATCAGGGTACGCCATCTTGAAAATCAAAGTAAGGCATGTAATGCAAACAAACATGGCGGCGCACCAGGCGCGGTTCTAGAGCCAATATTTGGGGGGGGGGGGGCTAGCAGGACGGATCCAGAATTTTTTTTTCAGGGAGGCATGCTAAAATGTAGACCGGTTATTTTCTTCAGACACTTAGGCTTCCGAAAATTGAATAGGTTGGGGGGGGGGGGTTCGTGCCATATTTTCAATGGGGAGCGCCAATAAAATCCTACAATCAGGCACACTGTATTAACTACAAATGCACCCTTGTCACGACTATTTCTTTGGGGGAGACCGTTCGCATGTACGTCACATTCCTTCTTTATGCTAATGCCTTTTTTTTTTTTCAATTTTTTTTTTTCGGGGGGGGGGGGGCTAGACAAAATTTGGGGGGGCTAAAGCCCCCCGTAGAACCGCCACTGAAAAGGCGATTTTTTTTTTTTTTTTTTTTTTTTTTTCCTCTTGGGACTTCCAACCAAAATACCATAGACTTTGTGCACGTTTTTTCTAGCAAACACTTTTGGCATAAAACAAAGTCATATGACAACAAAACTTAACATAGTCACAGAACATATAGCAAAGGTCGTTCGCGAAGATAGACGCAATGATGACGTCATCATGGGTCATGTGACGTCATCACAACGTTGCATATTTCAAAGCCCTATATCTACAGAACGGTATGTCCGATTGGCTTGAAGCTCAGCATGTGGTTAGACCGGGAAGTGTTATAGATATAATTTGAGATGACGTTATCATGATGTCATCATGTGATTTTATATTTAATTTTGAATTTTTGAAGACTTTTGCCATATCTCACTAACGCAATATGATAAATTCGAAATTCTTTTTGTATTAGGTTCGCTGGGCAATAGATATATGCACAAAATTTGGAAAAATGCGTGACGTCATGATGACGTCAGCAAAAATGCGATTTTTTGAAACACATATAAGGGAACGTCCAATCGTCATGAAACTTGGTGGGTGGGTAGATAATGACACTAGTACACAAAATCTTGAATGACGTCACGATGACATCATCGGTCGATTTTTAAAGATTTTTTTAATATTGCTTATTTTATTCTGCTTACAAAATTTAACACTTTTATTAATCCGATTGTTTTCAAACTTGGTACAGACTAAAACCACAATAAAATAATGAGCACTGCCAAGTATTGTTACGATGACGTCATCATTAGACATGTGACATCATCGTTAACTTGTATATTTTAAGCTCCTATATCTCACGAACAGTACATCAGATTGGGTTGAAACTTGGTATTTGGCTTTTCCGCAAAAAAGCTGAAAAGCCTTTCTTTTTGTTCTCATTTTTTGCTTTTCCGCAAAAAAGCGGAAAAGCCTTTCTTTTTGTTCTCATTTTTTGGCTTTTTCGCAATTTTGTTGTTTTTTTTTGTTCTGATTTTTTTTGGGGGGGGGGGGGTTTCCGCAAAAAGCGGAAAAGCCTTTCTTTTTGTTCTCATTTTTGGCTTTTCCGGATTGTTGCGGAAAAGGGTTTCTTTTTGTTCTGATTTTTTTTCTTTCTTCTTCTTCTTCTTCTCCTTCTTCTTCTTCCTCTTCTTCTTTTTTTCCCAAAACCCCATAGACTTTGAACACATTTATTCTACACGCCACTTTTGCCCTTAAACTTTGTTGCATATCGTTCAAAGTTTGCATAGACATAGTCCATACAGCATAGATGTGTGCGGACGAGCGACGTCATGATGACGTCATGATGGGTCACGTGACGTCATCATTCATGTGCATATTACAAAGCCCTATATCTACAGATCTGTCAGTCCGATTGAGTTGAAACTCGGTATGTAGGTAGATCGGGATGTGTTATAGACTAAAATTGAGGTGACGTCATCATGACGTCATCGTGTGATTTTATATAGATTTTTGAAGTTTTGGACCTTTAAGCCATATCTCACTAACGCAATATGATAAATTCAAAATTCTTTTTGTATTAGGTTCGCTGGGCAATAGATAAATGCACGAAATTTGAAAAAATGTGTGACGTCATAATGACATCAGCAAAAATGCGATTTTTTGAAACACATATAAGGGAATGTCCGATCCTCTTGAAACTTGGTGGGTGGGTAGATAATAACACTAGTACACAAAATCTTGAATGACGTCACGATGACGTCATCGGTCGATTTTTAAAGATTTTTTTAATAGTGCCAATTTTATTCTGCTTACAAAATTTAACACTTTTATTAATCCGATTTTTTTCAAACTTGGTACAGACTAAAACCACAATAAAATAATGAGCCGGCCAAGTATTGTTATGATGACGTCATCATTAGACATGTGACGTCATCATTAACTTCTAATTTTAAGCCCCTATATCTCATGAACAGTACGTCAGATTGGGTTGAAACTTGGTATGGGGTAGGCCGGGATGTGTTACAAATAAATATTGAGGTGACATCATCATGACGTCATCGTGTGATTTTTTATAGATTTTTGAAGTTTTGGACCTTTAAGCTATTGATCACGAACCCAATATGTTAAATTTAAAATTCTTTTTGTATTAGGTTTGTTAGGCAATAGGTATATGTACAAAATTTTGAAAAATGTGTGACGTCATGATGACGTCATCAAACATGCGCTTTTTTGAACCACATATAAGATAATGTCTGATCGTCATGAAACTTTGTGGGTGGGTAGATAATAACACTAGTACACAACATCTTAAATGACGTCACGATGACATCATCAGTAGATTTTTTACGATTTTTTAAATATTGCCAATTTTATTCTGCTTACAAAATTTAACACTTTCATTAATCCGATTGTTTTCAAACTTGGTACAGACTAAAACCGCAATAAAATAATGAGCACTGCCAAGTATTGTTACAATGACGTCATCATTAGACATGTGACGTCATCGTTTGTATATTTTAAGCCCCTATATCTCATCAACAGTAATTTAGATTGGGTTGAAACTTGGTATGGGGGCAGGCCGAGATGTGTTACAAATAAATATTGAGCTGACGTCATAATGACGTCATCTTGTGATTATATATATATTTTATATATGACAAATGCAATATGCCAAAATCAAATTTCCATTTGAATGAGGTTTGCTAGACAAAAACGTAAATGCACACAGTTTTGCACGAAACAGAAAAACATGACCTCAATTTAAAAAAAAACATAATGCAGGAAAGCCCTATGTTCTGTTGCAAACAGACATAGACCTCTAGTTTTTCTTTCTTCTTCTTCTTCTTCTTTTTGTCGCCAAAATCCCATAGACTTTGTACACGTTTTTTTCTCAGTGCCACTTTTGGCATTAATCTTTGTCATACATCATTCAAAGTTAGCATAGTCATAGTCCTTATAGCAGAGATGTGCCCCGAAGAGTGACGTCATGATGACGTCATCGACTTATTTATTATAGATTTTTGAATATTTAATTTTTCCCATAGACTTTGTACACAAAATTTAAAAAAAATGTCGGTTTTCAAAGGACATTTTTGACTCTTTGCCAGTAATTCATTTACACCAAACTTTGTTAAAGCAAAGACCCTAATTCAAACAACATTGTGTAATGATGACGTCATGATGAAGTCATCAGGTGTTTATTTATAGGCAATTAAATTGTGACACTTTTAATATTTAAAAATGCATAAGAAATTAACCTTACGCGTCCGCAGCATTCTGTTGCCGGCATGTGGTAGATTAGGTTGAGGTCTTTATTTCTTTTAGTGTGCGTGAAATCACGTGACCCTTGCTTCCGGTCGAAAAAGGCCCAAACCGGAAGTGGCTTATTATTTGAAAATGGTAATAGATATGAACTTGCTTTCAACAGTGTTAGTCTCTTGGCCAATAGTATTCTTCAAATCATCTACCAATGACGTCATGCAATCTTCGAGCGCCCTCTAGCGACAGGTTGAAAATTAGCAAAAATGTATTTTGAATAGATGTCTGTGGCGAAGTTAGTCGGAATCACCTAAATATTGGTGTATATAATTACCTTGACCACCTTAAGACGTGTGCGAAGTTTTACGCGAATGACGTCATCAGACCGGAAGTTATAATGAAAAGACCCTTTTTCATTTGAAAATTCCTGAAAAATCAACCATGGCAGTTTTTATATTTGTTTTTACTTTAATTGTTGATTGAAGGGTAGGTCTAAAACATTTCAAAGTTTCGAGGCGATAAGCGAACTCGAACATACCCTGCGCACGCTTAAAACTTCACGTTGACAATACTTCTTCTTCAAAACATGCACAGGACAGGACGTCCACAATGTACATGTACATGTACATGCACGTACGTTGTACGTTGAACATAGGCACATACATCGTATGTCAGTCAGCCTGCAGCGCACGTGTTGCTGAGGTCAAATCCTGTCCACAGTGACCGTTTTAGCCGATTTTCGGCTAACTTTGACAGATTTTATGTTCATGCATGCGCATAGACAGTGACGTATTATAGCACTTTTGGCATTAATCTTTTTCAGATATCATTGAAAATTGGCATAAGCGTAGTCCCTATAGCCAAGATGGCTGACATTGGGAAGGGCATAGGCCTATATGTGACAATAGCTTTAAATATAATTGACCAACATTAAAATGTCTACATCATCCGTTGACAATATAGCTAATTTCTTAACACAATTAAAAAACAGTGGAAAAGACAATTTCATCTAAAAGTAAGATAAGTGCATACATGTACAAACTGTCCCTGATAAATGTTACTGAGCATTTATAAAGTGTTTTGATGGATAACATGAAGACTACACATTTACAGCTAAAATAGTGAAGAGGGAAAACTGTTCCCCAAAACATACTC